AGAAATGCCACTGAAAACAGACAGTAGGAAACGATGCTTCATTGAGAATGATTTGAAGCTTTGTCATTGCTAATATAACAATGGTACAAACTCCAGTACATCTAACTTGAGTATCAATGCATGTTAATTATGAGATGCTGACTGAACTGTGGCACCATTCATAGGCTAAGGCATGTGCATTGGCCAGCAAGTGGATATTCTTAAGCTGAGCTTATTTCTGGATGTTTTCTGTATTAGTTACCCCCAAATAGACAAAATTAAGGTGCAATAGACATCTAGCTTCCGACATCTAGCCTGGATTTGTACCATTCCATTTTGTACTGTAGCTCTCTAAATGACAGAGAATGAGTTACTCAGTGCCTGAACTTGAAAAAAAAATATTAAGTTAGACTATAGGGTAATAAGTAGTAAGAAGAATTAAAACTTTTCCAGTTTTTCTGAAGAATCAAGACAGTATAGAAATACCACAGAATACCTTCACGGCAATGAGTTCTGCTTAGTACAATAAGTTTTATTTGCTAATTTTTTTCAAGTGTGTAGATAAAAGCCAATAATTAAACACCAACTTAAGTACAACTGACAGAGGTCAGTGTCTCATGGCATATTCCACAATGGTCTTATTCAAAGCCTGAATAATGTTCAAATATCTCTTTTTAGTAATTTTTATCTCAGACTTATCCTTGTTAATAGCATTCATCATTGCACAAGGCAAGGTACAAGCTTCTGGTAATGATTTATATGTCGATGTTCTTGGTAATATAACTAACGAATTTATTTCTTAAAAATAGTGTAGAAATAATTGTAAAGGCAGTGTATCCATTATATATTGTACTTCCAAAATAATTTTAGAGTGTTTTTATTAATTCTTTGTGTTTGACCATATCTGTTCCTTATCTACCTCCAACGTACACTAGAAATACCCCAATAGTCCTTTTGAACTTGATGACACCCAAATTTTGTGTTGTTTATATACTACTATGTCTAATTGTTACTACCCTCTTTGTAGGTTAAAAATACTGTTATGATAAAGCAAGTGGGGAATCTTGGCAGATTGCATGGCAGTCAAGTATGATCCAAGGTGGGAGATAAACATGCCAGGCACACAGAACTTAAGTGAGAAGTTTCATTAGAAAGGGGAGGAAGGGGTAAGGATAGAGAAAAGTAAAGAGACACAGAAACAGAGGGAGGAAGGAAGAAAAGATGGAGATAGGAAAAGTCCTGTCTGCTACAAGGGAGCAGCAGGAAAGAGAAAGAGACAGGATGTCTTTCTTTTAGAGGAGTTATTTGCACCTGCATGCAGACTACACAACCATGGAACTCTGTGCTAACCACTGTACTGCCTAAGTGAATCCTGCCAGGTGACAGGGGCAGGCCAGCACAATGCCTGCATCCTTATAAATGCAGCATGAGCAACCTACCAGTGGCCGCTCTTCCAAAGAAGCATAGCTCTCTTTGCAGGAATTATCAACTGAAGTAGTTCCTCAGCTAGGAATGGATACTCATGAGCCATTTCCCCATCAATGCTAGAATTTTGATTGCCTTAATTAAGTGCAAGCCTTCTGCAGGGAACAGCAGCTGCTGAGTTCATAGTGTAAGTCCATGTCATGTCTTAAAATCAGCATGTAACAGGATTTCTTTCATTCCAGTGGCTCTTACATTCTTTCTCTTCTCTCTTTAGTAATATTCCCTGAACCTTAGAATAAGTAATTGATATAGATGCCCCAATTAGGGGTCAGCACTCATGTTCATTTATTCTCAGCAATTTTGTCAAATATCAGTCTCTGCATTAATCACTACTCAGTACAAAAGGGAATAACTCTAATGTTGAAAGCAGTACATAATTATGGGCATCAGCATATAGAGTTAGAAGTCAATGTGACAGTATAATTATCGATCTAAGTAAAAGTAATAAGTTCCTCCCTAGGGCTATGCTCTTTTACCCACCGACCCCAATACCAAGTATGAATTCCCATACTTGTGGAGAGGGTTTAAGATCCTATCAGAAAATGTTTGGGTTGCCCTTATACCATCTTGTCTGGCAAGTTAGTATTTTAGTATTTAGGGCCAATTTGGGTGAGACATGTCATGTCTTTTCCCCTTCACTGGGCTGCACAGTATTTCCTACCACTATGAAAGCTAACCATCAGAAAGGAGTTCTCCTATTCAGTGAGAATCTAATTTCAATAAATGACTTCATGTCATAAGTATACTATCAACTCAATAACACATTTCTCTATGTATATTCAATTTTAAACAAAGAAGAAGTTGGAATTATTTAGGATCATTATCTTTGACTGCACTGAGAGGAACAATATTCCCTTTAAATGAGATATCACCAGCCTATAAAGCTGTATATGTTGTGTGTAGAATTTGAGGAGACAGGATACCATGGATGTTTTATATCATTCAGTGAGTTGGATAGAGTTCACCTGCCAAAAGGTAGGATGTGTGATGGTTAAATTTTTCTTTGCTGCTGATGGGAAAATGGTAAAGTTTCTATTCCAAGTGCATGTTTTGAAGGCAAGTCAACCATTAGTTTCCTGCCTAGTCCTTCTCTGATTTGTACACTTTGGATACCAAAGCCATATTTTCTATAATGAATAAAATAAGATTCCCTATTTATAGTTAGGACAATAAAAATTCCAAAAACATGTTAGAAATGCTATTTTTTCTTTTTCTTAGAGTCTCCAGAATTATGACAAAAAACAAAAACAAAACAACAACAACAACAAAAAAAAAAACAAAACAGAAAAGTCACCAAATAACCAGCTGATATTTGGTTAGTGAACACTGGTAGAGGCCTTTTTTTATTTGCCATTGTTGTATATTTTGTACATTTTTTTCATTCAATAGGAACTTTACTATTAATTTCATACATTTATAATTAAAAAATTATTGGTAAAAATTAAAATATCCTTTCTGTCTTTATACCCTTGCTGCACAAAATATATCTTTAGGTAACTGTCTTAACTCTTATACCATAATATCTAATCTAATTTTAATGTCCTATTTCTATGAAACTCTACCTGAGTTCTTCCATTCATTGCTTTTTAGGCTTCACTAAATAATATGTATGTGTGTATGTATGTATGTATGTATGTAATAAAAGACTATGTATTTGGCTAGGTAACAATTGTCACTCCACATCTCTTGGAGGTAATGATTTCATACTGTGAGTATAGCATACATTAGTTAAACTGTTTATCAAAGAGTCATTGTAGTTTTGTTATCATTATCTCTCCCTTTCATCCAGCATGAAGCTAAAACAGAGTGTGAGCAAATGCTTTTTCTCAAATATGTCATAACCTTTAAGCTAAACTGAATTATTTTTTAAGCTGGGATTTAGATATATATTTAAATAACAGCAGAGCCAGTATTTGTTATGAATTTCCTATATTGTTGGATAATTTTTGAAGCTTGGCAGAGTGATATAATCCTCAACTAGGGCATTTAGGGAAAAAATAATCCAATCCAAAAATTCAAACAAAATTTTCAGACGGAAAGTTATTGCAGATGTTTGGAAAGATGACACCTCTAACTGCTGTCAGTTTTTTTTCTCATAGACAGATATCCTTGCCATAACAAGAAACTTCCATAGTCCTCATTCCCAAACTAATAACTAAAGTGGAACTTGTTTTCCACCTTTTAGGTAACTCATTGCTGGCTCACTTTTTGGCATGTAGATAAATCACAATATACTTATATTGTATAGTAACAGATAATTAATATCTATATATTCAGTTTCTATTAATCATACATATGCCATGCTTACCCCATGAAAGATACTTATAGGAAAGTTTCATGTCATATGCTGAGTTTACAAAAATCAACAAGACAGAGACACCATCAGCCCTCATTGAATTTAGATTCTAATGATAACAGAAGATGTCAATTAAATAATCACATGGTAAATACGGTACATAGATGATTTAATAAGTATCATGATAGACACAAATTTAAGTACTCTGAAACTGAATATGTAAAGGACAAAGATTATTTTAGAATTAGTGGATAGGCAAGGCATTCCATGGAAATTATATTCAAGTTCAGGGTAAAATATGAAAGGAAATTAATCATGTGAAAAATTGGGTGAGTAGAAAGAAATTTAAGATGTCATTCCTTTTGGTATCGTATCAAGCAAATATTTAGAAAAATAAAGCTGTACCACAGGGGTTTGTATGTAGTAAACACAGAGAAAGAATGGTTTTTAAAGTACTGTTTGTAGTCTACAGTCCATGAGCTACTGTTGGAGAGATTTAATAATATGAATGGTGTGATCTAATTTGTGTCCTGAAGTTCTTCTCCCTGTAGCTATAATGACTAAAGACTGAATAGTGTTAGGCCAAACCAGAAAAACACAAACAGGAATTATTTGGAGCAAGCGATTGTAACTAAAACAAGAGCTACTGTTACATGAACTGGAGAATTTCATTAGCAAAACAGAAATGGGAAGTTGGGGTTAGGAAAGCTGAAAAGATAGAATTTAATTCTCTTTATTAAATAGTGATTTGTATGCCTCTATCTATGCAAAGTCACAGTTTCTTGCAATCATAAAGCATTGCCTTACAAGTTTGCCGTAAGGTGGGTTGGAGTTGTGCTATGAGAAAAAACTTGAGGTCACTCATTGTTTAAAATCCTTACATTTTTCTTAATTATTCATTCATTAATTAGAAAAGCATATGTGGGTGACTTGTATGAGAGAATATATGATGAAAATTTTATAAATTTTTATTAATATTGCACTTTCTATTGTTCATTTTCCATGTAAACAACAAAAATTGGTTTTCTGATAAAATAGTGCCTGTATTGTACTCTCTGAGTTTTTTCACTCAGAGTTCTTAGGATTTACTGACTGTGTTTTATTTACCTTCCCTAATTTCTCTTCTCTACTACTAATGATGCATATTTGAATAACAATTTTTCTGGAATTTAAGCTATTGTTTGGAATTTTTTAAGAAGCATGGTAAACCCACACTATTAATTTTTGTATTTTCCAATAGAAAAAAGAGAAAGGTTCCGTCATGATACAGAACAATGCCTATGCGGTGGCCGTTGCCAACTATGCTCCAAATCTTTCCAAAGATCCTGTTCTCTCCACCATCTCTAAAAGTGCAACAACGCCAGAACCCAACAAGAAGCCAGAAAACAAGCCGGCTGAAGCCAAGAAAACCTTCAACAGTGTCAGCAAAATTGACAGAATGTCTAGAATAGTTTTCCCAGTTCTGTTTGGTACATTTAATTTAGTTTATTGGGCTACCTATTTAAACAGGGAGCCTGTATTAGGGGTCAGTCCATGAGTCTAAACATTGGTTATCTTTGGGCTATAGTAACATTACACTTTGTTTATTTTGCTATGTACAGTCTGACTAATAACTGCTAATTTATGTCCCAATATGTACAGTATGTATATAGTGATAGAGCTTACCAGTAGACCTCCAAAAGGGACCTGCATTTGCTAACTCACGAAAATACAGGCAGAAAACATCCCATGCCAAAAGAGCCATTGACTTTTTAAAGATTTACCTTAGGACTCAGATCATGCAATTTATTTCCTAATGTTCTAATTATGATGAAAGCTGAAATCCAATGCCCTCTTTGTGAAACCTTTGATTTAGATATTAGATAGAAAAAAAAATTCTACTGTTACCTAAGGATGATGAGAGATTAACATTGTCACTCAAATATGAGCTCTTCTGGATATCTGAACATGTAAACCTCTGATGTGTTCCCTCCAGGAGTGTTCAGAACCCCTGCTAGTGTAATGGGAAGCTTGATAAACATAAGGAGAAAGCTAGAGATGTGGAAACAGCTTTTAATTATTATGTAGACTATCAATAGCCATGTACATAACATAAGCATGACAAGCTCAAATATCTATAAGTCACCATGACAGGATGTTGATTATGCTTAAATTCAATAACTATTGGAATATCAAAGGCATTGTATTTTTAGTGTCAGAATTTGTTTGAAAGTAGTAACTGAACCTCACAGCTCATTACAATCTTTGGAAACTACCTAACAGTATAAAAAAGAAGATATATGGACTTAGTCTTTCCATGTAGGTGTTGTCAGCTGAATTTTTTTGGTGCTGGAGAGTAGAAGAAAGCAGCCATGTTGGCTCTAATAGAGTTCATCCGTATCAGATTAGAAAGCTGTGCCAAAAACTCCAAGTGATGAGAATTCATAGGTGTCCCAGGTACAGATGAGCACTTATATGATTCTCTTCCTTCCTGTTTACTGTAAATTCTGCCTTAAGGCTTCTTCTCATCAGGACTCAGAAGCCACTAACTATAAAGGAAAGGGCAGTTAGTTGGCACATTTTTCTGTCTGGAAAGCAGCTCTTTCAGATAAAAATTAATATAAATCTGCTTTTGTAAATTGCAACTTTAAAATTCATTGACTCAAATTTACAGCAGCTTTGTATACCAGAAGAGATTTTGGTAAGAGTTGAACATTTTTAATCCACAACTTTAAAGCATCATCAACAGATTATGAACTATATCTCTCTCACACACACACAAACACACACACACACACACACACACACATACACACACATCCCATGTAGCTAAATTAGAAAACGATTTTTAATTTTATATAACTAATGATTGTTAATGATTAAAATTCATCTTTTCTTTTACTATATAAAACTATCATTTATGCTCCTGCCATATGCTAAAGTTAACAGTGTGTTTCTGTCAAAAACAAAGTACCTTTGACTGACATGTACATTAGCAGTTATTAGTTGACTTTTAAAATTAAATGCAACTTCATGATGATGTTTTTGTAGAAATCTAAGTAGTCAGATAGTGGCATTTCTTGCAATTTTGTACAGTATTTGAGTATAGTGCAAAACAGGTCTGTTAAAAAAAATCAATAAAAGGGACATCTTCTGCAAATCAGCAAACTAAAAAAAAATACCTGTTGTTCTTTTGCCTCATTCAACTTCTTAATTTTCCTTTCTAATGTCATTCTACTATGTGCTTTGCATGATTGTATTAATGCCAGGGTCACAGCTGCATCTTATTAACAGATTCACTACAAAGACAGCCTTGACATTAAAAACTTCCTCATGAGAAGTAATTCATAAACCTTAATAAAATTATGACATGAGCCAATAAATGTATTTTGTTAATTCCCTTCCAGTCACACCTGCTTTATCATCTAAATAAGTTTAAAGTGTGAGTATCATCTATCCAATGAAATAAAATATACCCTGTTTGCTAAAGTACTCATATACACTGCAAAATCTCTTGGGATGATAGCAGCTGCATGTGAAAGAATGTAATTTTTGAGGGAAAGTTTTAAGATGCTTTCTGTGGTATTTGTCTCCAATAGTTTAAGAACAGTTTAGCATGGATGAAGAGAGTTTAGAGGTTAATAGTGCATATTTCTCTTGCAGAAGACTTAATCTCAGGTCCCAGAACCCACACAGTGTTTCACAAGTGCCCATGACTTAGTTCCAGGAGATCTGAAGGACTCCATGGTCCCCCTCACATAGGTGTGCACATACCCATCCCACATAATTAACAATGGAAAATGAATAGCTTAAACTTTGGCCACACCCCTTTACTCTCTGATGATAAGTTTCATTATTATAAATATGTATATATGTAAAAATAGTTCTGAATAGTTTTCCACAGGTAATCACAAAAAAACCTTCAGCTGTGACTATGTTGACAGCAGTACTTTTGCTCATTGTTTTTCATTGCAGAATGAGTAGCAAAACTCATTTTGCTGCTCTTTGAAATGACAGAGTTAGAATTTTTCATTTCAGTAATGAAAATCGTATTTGAGTCTAATCACATTTTGATCTAAACTTGTCACTTAAGAACACTTTTTTAAAAATACATCATATATTAATATTTTTTATTTGAGTCATTAAATGACAGGTTAATTATGCTGTAATTTTGTATAAAGACATAGATAGTCATGGTATGTACAAAATGTACATTTATAGAGAGGTATAAGCATATTATATAGCAACTTCTCCAGCTGTCTCTTATTTTTACTTTATCGTTTGTAATACTCCCTAAACCTCTTATGAACATCACTGGTATTGCAGCCACAAACTCCAGGTGAAGAGAGTATTCTTTCCCTTATAATTAAATAAAGGTTTCTATAAACCTACAAATTAATTTAATACTGACAATTTATGAACTATGTATCTACTATGCTAAAATGCGGGCTGTTAATCTTTTTTCCTCCTACTTTCTTTAACAATAAATATGGAAATAAGGCAAGCATACAATATACATTGATTTTTAGCTGGCAATCCTAGTATTTCAAGATGTTTTTGTGGATGCATTGCAAATTCTCGCAAGTCTGGAGGAGGGAAATTTTGGACAATATTTCTAAAACATTCCCTTAACTAGTTCACATTTTGTTAAAACTAACAAAAATATCATTTCTCTTGCATTTTTTTTGGCTAGTATGTTTCATTTAAATATAGATATATTCTAATGCTTATACAGAGAGAGACCTTTTCTCCTTATCTCACAAGTACTTATGTGACTTTATTTATATTCTTGTTTGAGGGAACTGAACTCTAATACTATAGACTATATGGAATCTCTATAGTGTAGATATTTTGGGGAAAATACAGAAGATATGTGGATACTTTACCATTGCACTTTGGAATGTTCTATTATCATTCCATTGAGAGAGGGAGTAAGCATCTTGTCCTATTCTGCCCAGTTATGATGCATCAGCAGCTGTGAAGAACTTGTTCAGTGTGCTTGGTGTACAGCAGACTCCCAGACACATATCTGTGAAACAGAAACCAGTGTTACCTAACTGAACTCTTGTGACATAGTATGAAATGTATGAAACCCATTATTACATTTTAAACATCCTTATATTTTTAATACTTTTCAAGCAATTATTAGATTGATTTTCATTTGAAATTATACAAAATTTCAAGCGAATCAAGACAGAACCTGTTGCTGACACAAAGTGCTATTCATTTTTATTTATTTAAGGTCTCATTAATACATTTCCATTTTTATTTATTATCCTAAAGATTTTGTTTAGTTGTTTAAAGGCAGTAAACTATATTTTATTGAAATATTTCATAACAATCTGAAGTGTAATGTTATTGTCTTACAGAAGAAGAACAGATCTATTTGCAAAAGCTATTATCAATATGATAAATATGGATTATCAATGTGATAAATATGAGATTTAATTACAAATTTATACACCTTAAATTTAAAGAATACAATTTATCCACCTTAAATTTAAAGAATACAATACAAAATGATGAGGAGTGGGATCACGTTTTATATACACATGTTTAGAGCCATGACCATGGCAAAAAAGTTACTTACAAACATGTGGACAAGACAAATTACAAGATATTTCTCTATTGGATTTATGCTGTAAAATGAAAGTAAGTACTTATTAAAATTACTATTAGCATTTATATTGAGTTTATTAATATTTTCTCCAGGTTTTAATAGCTCATGTTTTCAGCAAAGCCAAAAAGCAAAGTGAGAAATACATGTCACGGGGAAAAATAAGGATGTTACTAATTGAAATAAGTGAAATATTTCTCTATTTTTGCTCTTAAGAAAGTGGATAATATATACAAGGGAAGAGAGAGACTTACATGTACTTATACATACAAAGAAATATTTAAGTTATAAATATATCATATGTATGGCAACCAAATATTAAAACTAATAAAGTTTCTATAATAAATCTTTAGGTAATAAAATGTAGTAGAATTAATGTATCTTCAAAATATGAAACATTTGATTTAGAGCAGAAAATTGGACACTATATATTGTATCATTGTTAACTGAAATATTCTGTTTATTTGGTTATATACCTTTCACAGGTCAATTTTGCTCCATTTCAAACAAAACTATTTTGCATTTATATAAAATATTTCCAGAAGATAATATTTAGGAAGGTTATGTTGTGTGTAGCTTTGTGTGTCTGTGACATGGTTTGTGTGGGGGATTGGGGGAGGTGTGGTGTTCTAGATAAGAATACTAGGGAGAATTCAGATGAATTTATAAAATCTGAAACATTCATTTTTTTTAAAAAATATATCTAACATCACATTTAGCTCCCAATGAACTGACAATTTAGCAAAATAGCTTTTTCAATAGAGGAAGCAAACTGTAAAAATTTGAATTGAGCTTGATTCATAGAATAAAACATCCCTTCACTGTAAGAATAAATATGTTCCCACAGTTGGTTCTTTTGAGTCATTAAAATGTTTTTATGTTTCTTTTGTTTTTAATTTGGTTTTTCTTTTTTATGATAATATTTAATTTAAATTTGAAAAGAGCTTGTTTTACATAACAATCCCAGTTCCCTCACCCTCCCCTCTTTTCCTGTTCCCTCCAACCTCCATCCCATCTCCTTTCTGCTCCCTAGGAAGATTGTGGCCATGCCTGGGGGATCTTC